GCATGCGAGCAAGTCAGGGGTATCCAGTTTGGCTGCTGGGAGAATGCAGGCATGGGCGGTCCATCTGAGCCGCACAAGGGCTTGGACGCCCATGCGTGACAGCGCATCCTGGGCTGTAGGGTGTGCAGTCGTTGTTTTGCATCCAAAGCGAGAGAGAGAGAGAGAGAGAGAGAGAGAGAGAGAGTTTATGGCAAAGCAAAGCAAAGAGTTTATGGCATGAGCCGTTGGATGCATTATACTCGTTCTTCACACCCCTTCCTCGCATAACATATGCGGGTGGGCTTGATCGCCGGGGGTCTTGATCGACCCCCAAGCCCGGGAGAGGGAGAGAGAGAGAGAGAGCGCTCCGCAACAGTCCGGGGCGCTAACGAGCGCGGGCGAGGGGGGCTTGCCTTCCTTGCCCCAAGCCCTAGCCCTGGCGAAAGAAAGCGAGAGAGCGAGAGAGAGACGGTGTACTTTACAGCTTTAACTTTAGCCTTATGATGATCTACCTTCGCTGTTCACTCCCCTGGTCGATAAAGCATCGTAGGCATGATACCCGGGGGCTTTGACAGAGAGAGAGAGAGATAGACCGTGGCCTGGCGAAAGAAAGAGAAGAGAGACCCTAGGCCCTAGGAACGTGCACCTCTCCCACCCCCGAAGGGGTCGTGAGGACAGACCGCTGCGAACCTCAGGGGGTAGGCCTTCGGGCCACGGTGCTCGCACCCATAAGCAGGCAAGCAAGCAAGACCGTGGAAGTCCTGGTAACCTGGTTGCGGCTTGCTAGTTACTCACAGTCATGGTCTAGTAGGGGTGTTTTGGAAGGATGGATTTGACAAGCTCAATCCGGGGAACACGGGCTTTCTCTCAACCACGGAAGTAGCTTCGAAACTGCTTCGAAGACATTATGGGCGCGAACTGTTGTGGGGTAGGCCTCCGGGCCAGGGGTCCTCCGCGCCCCAAGCAAGCAAGCAAGCAAGCAAGCAAGCAAGCAAGCAAGACAGAGAGAGAGAGAGAGAGCAAGCACCTCTTTGGTTAGTGTGAGAACTGCAAGCTCTGATGAGGCACGGTTGGGCTCTAACCAAAGCGATCAGGGCGCATGCGTGCGCAGGGGGAGGGATGACCTCCACTTTGGCTGAGTTGAAGAAGCACACAGCACACAGCACACCCCTTTCGAGAGCACACCTCTTTCTCTGCAGTGTCCCCGTACCGTCACGAGAAAACCACGGTACGATGCCTGCAGGTGAGAATCTCACGCTTTCGTGTTTGAGGCTTCTCGTTAGAGACCCTGAGATCCGGACTGCATGCTGAGGAAGTGCAGGAAGAGGCGCTCTCCTGGGAGGAGCGACGGAGTTCATGCGTGTGTTGAGCCTTTGTGGCCGTGCCTGATTGAAGCTATGCAGGACAAGCACCCCGAGTCTCCCTTCACAACTCCATTGCCGCAGCGCTCCACCATCAGCCCCAACGGGTTGACTTCCTCACAGGGCGCAGGCCAAGGAGAGAGAGATCGAAGATGGTGAAAGACTTCCAGCCCTGCAAGACAACTTCGCGCTAGGAGGCTTTCACGATTTCCTGAAGGGGCGATCCGAGACTTCGCCAGCCATTCTCACAAGTCGTCCACTGAACTTGTTGCCCTCATGGGTGAGACTTCCAGCCTGTTCTCAACAATTAGACCGACATGCGTGCACACTTGCATCGCGTATGTATAGCTGCTGCAAGAATACATGCAAGTACATTAGCACGCGAAGCAAACGATGCCCAAAACACTTGCAATGCTGCACTTGCCAACTGCAGGTCATACATTTCCTTTGGCATCTCCAACATGTGAGGATCCGAGGCAGAGAAGGGATTCTAGCCAATTCCCGTTTGAAGATTGAAAAGGCGAATGACAAACTGCAAACTTGCGACACCTGGATGCAGCATCTTCGCTGTGATGCGTTCTTGAGTTAGCAAGCACTTTGGACTTGGACTACTGCGACGCCGCTCTCAAGTTGCATGGACATGGGTTTGGCATGGCACAGAGCTCCAATCAGATGTGTCTACCTGGCTGCAAGGCGAGCCTCCCACATGGTGATCATCCCCAGGTAGGACTCAGAGACTTAGTTATAAACGGCAACGGCATGGGTGACCACGAAGCATCTCGTAGTCTATGCTTATGGAGATGGTGCAGCCAATGCAGTCTCCGTTTGACGTGAGCTCCGAGGGCCAGGCGGAGAAGCCTTTGCTGTCGGCTCCAGGACGTGCAACGACCTGCAGTCCTCAGAAGCTGTTGCACAGGTGAAAAGGTTCATAGAGCGTGGACGAAGCGTTGCGCAGAGCACAGGCGGGAAGTGAGACTTTCTGGTTGCCATTCCAAGTAGCTCGCCAGCTCAGGGTACCACACACACAGACAAACAACGCACTGACTGACTGTTGCTGTCTGGCATGGGTTGAAACCTGTGCGCAAAATCAGCTATTAAAGCTATTACAGGTCGCATTAATGTGCGCCGAATACGGACGAACCACCACACTGGGCGACTTCCTCAGCGCGCAGCGATTCGCATGTTATCAGTTGTTGATGTAGCAGCACTAGAGCCAAGGTGGGCATCCTTCTGGTCAGACCCCTTCCATTCGGTGCGCTTAGCTTTCTCTGAGACCGGCTCCGTGGCCCATGTGATGCTGAGACCGAGTTCTGACCATCAGGTCATCCACCACAGCACCATCAAGATTATGGCCTTCTTTTGTGCGACTGCCCTAGTCAAAGTGAAAGTGGAGAGAGCTTCTCCTGAAATGGGTTCGACACCGTCACCAGCGCCTTCGGGAGGGGCCTGTCAAAAGTTCGAAGAGAGATGCTTGAATGAGGCAAGCTACTTATTCACGCACCTGCTCTTCTCACTGCAAGGATCCCAGCGCATAAGAAAACCAGGGGAGGCACAGAAACGAGGTGTTTGGAGTCTGGCCACCAAGCACACATGCTGGTGCAGGGTATTCCCTATCCTGTCTCCGTCGAATACATCATACAGTAGCTCGGGAAAGATTTTCAACTTGCTGTTGTTGGGCAGGCAGAAGCGTGCTCCCACCTCTCATATCCGCCATTTTGAAGACATGTGCAGATTCGCATCTGGGCCTAGGGTTTACTACATGGTGGACGAGTCTTGTGACCTGCAGATGCTCGCCAGCACTAGCTTCCAAGTTAGTGAGTATTCAGTCAACTTCGAAGCAAGAAGGCGTGCCGCGCATGGTGGTGTGACCAGCACCTTTTGCAAGGATAAAGTCTCTGCTGGATGCCATGTACCTCAGCTTGGAGGCATCCTGAGATGGTCCCGCTGTTTGTTCGTAGAAGCAAAGTTGGGGTGGTCTGCCAGGTTGGTATGACGATTGGATGGGGTTTGCCCGGGCTCGGCCCTTGAGAACAGAAAAGTTTGCCTCGCGCAGGGCTGGGAAACCAGAGAGCCTGATGTCAAGGTCTCCTTACATGAAGCAGAGAGGAGCCAGGCAGGATCTTCCATGTGCCCTTCAGGGCGTGGCTGCTGTCGCAGAAGCAGCTCTTTGCTCCTGGATCCAGAGACCGCCTCCAATTCCGGATAAGAGTCTGAAACGAAACAGCCCACATGCTGAGCAGCACCCAGCTCCGCAATTAAGCAGCCAACAAGTGATACTCAACCCTTGGCGAACTGACAGCATCGTGGCTATAATTGTGTTGCAGTGCCTTGCTTCCCGAATGCAAGACTTGGATTTGGTACATAAGGCAATCAGACTTTCTTCCATGCTGGGTCGACCGCTCCATGTCCCTTTAGGGCTCGGGGCTTGCTCGCTGGCCAGGCACGGCTGCTTCAGCGGTGTTGGGATCGTTTACCTCCACACTTTGACCATGAGCGCGCGGCCCCTGGAGCGAGAAGACTTGTAGGACAACGGGCGGACAAGGTGCGGAGTTGGAGGTAGCGCTGCTAGCTCCATCAGTAACTGTCTAATAATCAGGGTGGTTTCTTGCGCAACCACTGACCCTTCAATCCGACCCTTCTGGAAACCAGCTTCAAAGTGCTAGAGACTACTAGAGACAATCTGGATCCTCGACTTCAGATGCAAAATGCCCTGATGATCGGCCTGATCTACTGCCGCATGTCACGGGGAACCAGCAGTGGGGAGCCGAGTTGCTAACAAGCCACCATGACTCGCCACGTGAGAATTCATAGCAGGCGCAAGGTGCGGCAAGTCACCGACTTTGCCGCAGCATGTCACCATGTCCTCCGCCCCGTGGAGGGAGATTCTGTGACTTTCAGACTGGCTCAAGCTGCCAGCCCCTCAAGCCGCCGATCGGGTGTGGAGCGGGCTGATGGATGCTCTCTTCTACCAGCATTTGCAAGGACTCTACCGCTAGAGGTCACATGTGTAACTTTTCTGGACTCGGTGGCCGATGAGGCACTTGGCCTTTTGTCGCGGAAGGACTTACGAAAGAGTACGAGCGGCTGGTCCAGGAGAAGGACAGATCACAGACTGCATGGAGACCTGCACTTTTGTGGCACTCCTGCCAGGCAGATTTGACAAAACTCTTCAGTGATGCATCATCTGTTTTGTTTCCGGCTCAGCCACTTCCAGTGGAATCTTGCACATGTATGCCTGACCCTTCGTAGCGACGGCTGGTCCATCGGCATCGGTTTTCAAGGACGGTCCACCCATAACACAGAGACTAGTGACTAGCCAAGGCTGCACGAAGAAGCCGCTGGGGCCTAACTTTTGCATTCGGCATGTGAGCAAAGTCAGTGCAGGGCAAGGCAAACGGTCGCATCTCAAGCCATCCAGGTCCTGGACCGTGAGGGAGCCGGAAGCGTCATCTCACACAAGGTGCGAGCAGTTGCCGGAATCTTGTGTTGCTTATAAGCTTCATACGTGGACAGAGCCATGTCCTGAAGGAAACACACAAAGGTCTATTTCACCACAGACACGTGTGAGCACAGATCTTGCACAGGACGAGCTCGACGTGCATGACGTGCAGAAAGTCCCCTCAGGCCAGCTAGAATGTGATTTCTGGTCGAGTTCATTCAAAAACATAGCAGCCATGCCTCGGGGCATGTGCTCACATGCCTGCAGAGCATTGCTGGAACTGATTTCTCATGATGTGGCCCTGCGAGTTCGTCGCCAAACAAGCTTTGCACGTGACTTGGAGAAGATGAACCAGGCCCCTGGGGAGGAAGCAAAACCTGTATGCCATGCCGAGCACTACAGGTCAAGGTTGTCGTAGTTGGGACAGAGAGAGGGAGAGAGAGAGAGAGAGAGAGAGAAAAAGACAAGAGAGAGAAGGAGTCCATGTTGGCTCAAGTCGACCCGCCCCTTCCCAATGCGGGGGGGACTCGAAGACGGCCCCACGAGTTGGCAAAGAGTGGCCTCTGCCTTCTCGGGGGGCGGACGTTCTTCTGAGTGGAGGGAGGCTTGAGCCTCACGCCGCAGCTGTTGGATCCAGTTGCCCGGAGTTCTGTCCTTAAGGTCTTCGCAGCCATATCAACACCCCGAACCAGCGCTGCAGCTGCTGCTGCTACCATCTTTGTTCGTTGGACAGCCTGCTGGAGCTCTTGCGACCAGTGAAGACACAACTCGGTCTGCTCATTTTCGAAGCAGTGTGGAAGCAATGCCTGCAACCATTTCCGCTCCCTGGAATTATGCGCTGACTCCTTCGCGCCCAATGCGATTGGAGCCGGGCCCGCCGCAGCCGCTGGATGGGGGAATCTGGCCCCCTAATCCCACGACCTCCGACCTATCCAGGGGAGAAGCGTAGAGAGACGCCGAACCCCGATAATGTTTATCTTCAACTGGGCTCTCCCCAGACAGGCAATGTCGATCCACGAGCAGTGAATCGTAGAGAGACGTGGAAACCCCCCACGGGGTTTTGTCCCCTCTGCCGTCCGATCCATTCGATCCATAAGGGCTGCGCGAAACGTGGCCCCTACCGTACCCAAAGGTGCCCTGCCCTTTTGCTACAGCTTCTGTATTCGCTTGCAGGTTTCAGACCGTCGCGAGCAAGGGGTGGTAGGCCTTCGGGCCAGCACAGTAAACTAGGCGGTAACTGGTTTTCAGTGCACTTACGTGATGCTTTTGTTGGACATTGTGTTCCGCCCGTAGTTGTATCTGGGGAACAGCTGGAAGATTTGTGTAACGCTTGCCTGGTTGTCATGGTCATGGTGTAGGAGGGATGTTCTTAGGGGGGTTGAAGCAGGTGCACACAAGGGAACAGGAACGTTCCCAGCCCCGGAAAGCTGCGGAAGGGGTCTTTCCGACGTACTGACGCGAACCTTGAGGCTGTGGGCCAGTGGGTCTAGGCCCCCATAGCCATACCCCAAGCATGCAAGCAAGCAAGCAAGCAAGAGAGCGGAGAGACAGAGAGAGAGAGAGAGACCCAGTGCGCAGTGCGCGTTCGCGTGCGGCCACCGGTTTCGAAGGACCAGCTCCAGAACATGGCATACGAGATCGAGGTTTGGTGCTCAAGACCTGACAATGCTGCATTCTCTTTGGATATGATGCGTTTGGTGTGACAGTGAGGTAGAGACTTACTCTTCGTCGTGACGTCTATTTTCGCTGCTCCAGTTTAATGTGCCACTGCCCGCTACAGGGACCGCTCCTACTGGCCGCAGCCGAGAGACAAACAACGTTGAGAAGTACGACAATTCGTGAATATTCTGGTGGTGTTGTTGGTGGTGGTGGTGGTGCGGGGGTGGGGATGGTGAGTGGGGGTGGGGAGTGGTAGCAAGTCAAGCAGTCGTCGTCGTCGTCGTAGTCCTCAATAGAAAATTAGATATAGCAAGAAGCAAGCGCTCCAGCTTCCTCCTGGACGTCGGAACCATGGCAGTGTTGGACATTGGGGTTTGTGCGGCAAAAAGACACATGCAAGGTTACTATCTGGAGAGCCACAGGCAGGCTTTGGAGATAGCTGCTGCATGAACTTCTGTGTGATTTGTAAAGAGTACGAGCGCCTGAAGGGAGCTTGGGGCCGGAGATATTGTTTGCAGTGTGGCATGTCCGTACTTGGAGGACTTCGCGAGGCTGACCTCGTCCCAGGCCGAGTGTGATCGAATGCTTATGATTGTGATTTTGCCTTTCTAGTATTTA